AGGCATAGACGATTAGATTGGACAAGTGTTAGATTGGTTTTATACCAATGGTTAATATAGTATAATCTGCTGCGTATGAATAGAAATGATCCAAGCTAGGAAATATTAAGGTAGTTTTAAGATAAATCTAAGTTGGCTCTCGCCTATGGGTGATATTATAAATAAAGGGCGAAAAATTTAAAGGTTCGGTTCGGAAGAGGACTGAGCGACGTGAGGCTTTGACCGCGACCTGAGAAGCCGGGATTGGGTCTTACAAAATGCATCTTCTTCCAGAATCGATTACTAGGGTTCACTGTCTTCTTCGATATCTGCTTATGTAAACTGCCAATGGAGTATCGTAGGGTTCTATGAGACTCACCTGTAAGATGAAATTCTGGATTGAGCTCACTTCATGACGTTTTATTTGAGTTTCATCTCCCCTTAACTGTTACAAGACACATTTATTCATTGTAATTAATGTCGTTCTTCACTCCTTAGATTCCCTCCAACTACGATTCCTCATATAATACATCTTCCCTCTCTATAGGCGGTGGATCTTCAGCTATAAAAATCTTTCATCCCTTCAACATTATCCTCACAAATCCTTAAATAAGTTTTCTTTCCTTCCCTGATAATCATTCTTATGGCTCTCATAATTGATATATACTGAGATTCTGATTTTGTGTGTTTCATGTCTCGATTAGATTGCATTTATCCTAGAGCGAGAAAATAGATTTGGTGTTGTAGATGAACATTGGTTCAAAGTATATGGTTGTTTCAATCTCAAAAAGACTTATTCGCACTTTTAGATTTGTTGCATCTTTACGATGTAGCATCAGTATTATCTCAGTTTCTAATTTTTTTCTTATATGCAAAAATATGGATTATTTTTTCTTTGATCTCTAATTTCTTCTCCAAGCTCTTTCTTAGCCTCACCAAATTGAAGGAGTCTCTTGGCTTCTTGGTAACACTCCACCCTTTTTTTCTTCTGATGCAAACCGAGCTCAAAAAACTGATTCGTTCAATTTTTTAATTCTGATTGCAAGATACGAGGTACCAACTTTTTTTTTTATATGTTCTCTTTGTGGTTTTATCTATGTTGAGTCTAATCTACATATTGAGTAGATTGGGTTGGGGAAGAGTCTACAAGCAATTTTGTTTTTTGAGTTATCTGCAATTTCATCAAAGATTGCAAGGGCTATTTCGTGAGACAATGAAATCTGCTTCTTAAAGACAGGTTCTGATGTTGTGTTGTTTAATGTTGTGTCTTGATTTGGCAGTTGTGCTTTGTTCTTTGGGCGTAACGGATGATTGGGTGTGAAAGATAAAAGGTTCACTCCATAACTTGAAGTTCTTACATATGTTGGTGAATGTATGTTGGTGATAAGGATTGCCATAGGGATTTGCGTAATATAATGCATGATTATGTCAACAAGAGCTCTAAGGTGAGAGTAAAAGTTTTTGACTTTCTCCATAATTTGAGGTTTTATCAGGTGTGTGTAATTATATTGTTTTGATTGTTGTTGACAACGTATGATATAGCATTGGTGGATCAAGACTTCCTTTCTCAGATTCCATGGCAGTATCTGTAACTGATGAAGCTCAAATACACAAGAATCCCAACAGTGTATGTTGCCTAACTAGGAAAATCCATCGAGTTGTGAACCGAAGGAATTTTATAATTACGCTAGCATTTCATTTTTTGCAAGCTGGTCTTTTGGTGGACATCGAAACAAAGTATCGTTCTAATAATTATTTCTCTGTTAGATCAGTGTTTGGTCATGAGATGACTAACTAATAAATATCTTATGGTATATATTGTTCCTTAGAACAAATTCAACATAATTTATATCATCTTTAATAATTTTAATATATGTAAATAAATTTAAAATATAAAAAATTATTAGTCATATTGAATATTTTAAATACTTTTTTAAATATATTAAAAATATGCATCGATGTAAGAGAAGTAAAATATAGTTTCGTTTAAACCATTTCAATAGGCCTATTTAGAAAATTTATTCAACAACAAAAAGAGGGCATTAAGATTAACGTTTTTTAACTATGTCAACTTGAATGTATATATTTTTCAGTGTATATTATTAGAAAATTAAAGAATAACGTCAATGAAATTAAAAAAAAAATGAATGTTAATATTATTTTCAAAATGCATATTAACATTTATAATATAAATTGCAAAGAAAGAAGATTCCTTTCATTAGTTATCTGCTTTACACGAAAACATTAAATTTATAATACTTTTTTGTTCAACTATTTTATGAAATCTAACAAACATTTATATAACTTTTTTTATCTATTTATATGTCCGTAGGGCGAGCTGACTCTAGTATATAGATATAAACTGTTTTCTCTCTACTGAGAGTGCCACATCATCAATTGTCTCATCCCAGCTTGACACATGTCTATGACTTCTGAAACTTGCAGTTTATTTCACATATATCTCCAATTGTTTGGGCTTTTTTCAATTTATTGGGCCTTATGTTATATTGAGCCTTATGTTATGTCTAGTTCTACGACCTGATAACTATCAAAATAAACTTCTCACATTCAGTCATCTATCAATTAGGATTAAAAGATATTAAAATCATTCAGAAAATAAAATAATTGAAAATATATAATAAAAATAACGGTGGTAGGAGGAATGAGCTACATTTATGGTTTGTCCAAAAAAAAAGAGCTACATTTATGGTAGTGATGGTTGGCAAAACATGAAGGAGGTGCGATGTTGACAAAACATGAAAATAGTGGTGTTGGTAGACAAAATGCGATAGTGGTGGCTCTTTGATAGTGTTATTGAAATTGGAGAGATTGTCGACGATGGTGGTTGTGTCATCAACATCAGATCTTCTTCAAATAGGCCAGATCTAGAAAGAAAATGATCAAAATAAAAAGATAATGGGAGAAGAAGAGTACAAAGATATGAGATGAAAATGAGAGAGAGAGAAAATGGACCTTACAAAATAAAAGAATGTTAAGATATTATATGAACACATTATGACGAAGAAAAAAAGGAAGGATAATATTACCAAGACTGCAAAAAAAAAATTGATTATTTTTATGAATGTATATCCTGATTGATGAAAAATAAGTAAAAGCAATTAAGAAAATAATGATAATATAGCAAAAATCAAGCATCAATCGAAGAAAATATAAATATTAAAACATCTTCCCAATTTATATTATAAGTCTGATTTGTATCATTGTCCCTCGAGAAGCAAAGAAATTATAACAACCATGCAGCTACTAACAACTTACTAAACCAAGTAACCGTTAAAAAAAGATCAGTTAAACGAACATCATTACAAAATCTGCTAACAAAGGAAAATCATCACATGTTCATGTTATCATGTCTTTCACAACATATTCTCAGATTTGTTTTCCAAACCAACGTCCTTACGTAATTAAATGATTAGAATATCTACAAAACATGGGCTCTTTCACAAAGCAAAGCAGCTTGATGTAATAAACTGAGTGTCAATGAGGTCCTTACGTAATTAAATGATTAGAATATCTACAAAACATGGGCTCTTTCACAAAGCAAAGCAGCTTGATGTAATAAACTGAGTGTCAATGAGGATGAAGCACTCCTAAGTAGTGAAGAAGTAATAAGGCCCACTATAATTAAATATGAAAACATAGTCATAAGTCTTTGACCTCCGTTTTCTATGTTTTTTGTTTTGCAGCCGGTTTAAAACCGTGACCATGGTGGAAGAAGAAGTTTATCGCCAGGTCAGTTAAAATATTAGGTGTCCTTCCAGATCGAGTCTAGAGTCAAACGTTTAATGACATTAACACACATACACTATAGTGCATATGAATGTTAAAATGGGTATGCTGCCCAGGGACCTTAAGGGTTTTGACTTTTGATGTAAAAAAATTGAGTTCGTTACCCGTTTATTAATGTTAAACTAAATGAACCCATAAAGGGTCCTCAGTAATGCATATGGCTATAAATAACTTCTTGAATATGTTAAAATAATTTCTAAAATTCATTAGGGAATTGTGTAAGCCGTTGACTTTTTTTCAGCCAATTGTAAATTACAAATCACACATGTTTAACATTCGGTTGAATTATGAACTAAACATTCAAAAACAGAAAACCAAAAATAGAGGATACTCGGATATTAAAAAATCATCACTTTCTGACCGTAAGCCAAACAAGTTTGGCAAATACAATGAAAGCCAATATTTCACGTTAACAACAAACATAGAACCTTATCACATCAAAACAAAAAAAAAAATCATCTACAACCAGAAGCAAGCTTCTTTTCTCTTTCAACCTCCACAACCATATCTCTCATTTCCAAAACCATACCAATACCTATTACACACGGCTACGAGTAACAATCACTAAAATTCTGCGCGTAGTATCCAATAACAAATATCTTACAATCTGTTAATATTAAAATTTCTTTAAATACAATCTAAACATTTAATAACAAGAAAATTTAACTGACTGGTTCAGTTTGAACTATTTAAACTAATTGAATGATTCAATTAATGTCTTGCAATAGTATGGTTTGGCTTATTGTTGGATCCCATCTGGTTTGAGCATCATAATTAGATTTATATTATAATTATTACTCCCATTTATTTAATAAAGTCTTGAATAATAGTATATGTTATTTAAAATAATAACTCAGCTAAAAAATATTAAGAACATGAAAAATAAGGAAAACTATCTAAACTATGGAGAACACGAAAAATAAACAAAATGACCTAAAATCATGGAAAACAAGTAAATTCACTTACAAAAAATAGTAGTATATATAAATAGGTAGATGGATAGATGAAACTTAATTCATCAGATGGGTTTTACTTTATCTTAAGCCCATTACCTTTAAGCCCACGATGTGGTTACCAAAGAAAAAAACCTACAAAAGACGTCTTATATTTTAAAAGCGAACTCTAGGGTTTTTCTTGTACCCCAAACTCTATAACAGAAAAGAAAAAAGAAAAAAAAAAAACACGCCGTCGCATTTCACACTCAGAGACGAAAGATGAAGACGATCCTATCCTCCGAGACCATGGACATCCCGGAAGGCGTCACCATCAAGGTCCACGCCAAGGTGATCGAAGTCGAAGGCCCACGCGGGAAACTCACTCGCGACTTCAAGCATCTCAACCTCGATTTCCAGCTCATTAAAGACTCCGTCACCGGGAAGCGACAGCTCAAGATCGATTCGTGGTTCGGCTCTCGCAAAGCCAGCGCCTCCATCCGAACTGCCCTAAGCCACGTCAGCAATCTCATCGCTGGTGTCACTCAAGGTTTCCTTTACAAGATGAGGTTCGTGTATGCTCATTTCCCTATCAACGCTTCGATATCCGGTAACAACAAGTCCATCGAGATTCGTAACTTCCTTGGCGAGAAGAAGGTTAGGAAGGTTGATATGTTGGATGGTGTTACCATTGTTCGGTCTGAGAAAGTTAAAGATGAGATTACTCTTGAGGGTAATGATATCGAGCTTGTCTCACGTTCATGCGCTCTTATCAACCAGGTACGCAAAGAAAATGTTGTAGAAATGTAATGATGCTTAATCTTGTCGGTGATGGGTTTGGTTGTGTTTTGTGTTATAAATGTGCAGACTTTGTCTTTGTTGATGATCTGATTGTTTGATTTTGAACAGAAATGCCATGTGAAGAAGAAGGATATTAGGAAGTTTCTTGATGGTATCTATGTGAGCGAGAAGGGCAAGATCGCTGTTGAAGAATAAAAAGCTATTCATATGGTGGAAGAGTGATTTAGTTGTTGTAGCGTTTTGCTTACATCTCTTATGTATTTGTAGTTTTCTTTCCTTTGGACCATCAGTGATGATGTAAACTCGTTGTCCCTTGCGTTTGGGTTTTTTATTTACTCTTTTTTTGCAAAAGTTTTTAATACTACTATTCTTGTTTTTCATATTCTTGGAAATGGTCTGAGTTATTGGCTATTTGAAAGAACGTCTAAACTTTTAATATAGCCTTCAGGCTTGTTTCTGGTGCCAAATTGTGCCCAGTGATTCTCACATGGTAACTGATATATATTGAAAAAAAAAAAACTTAAGTCGTCGTAAGACCTTAGAAATTATCCAAGAAGAAACCAATTTCTAGAATATTTGCGGTTAGCATCTTAGCTAGATTTTAGAGCATTTGTAGAGTTTTCTCAGTCGAAGTTGTAACGTGCAGCATCGATATGTTTTGGATGCTTTGAATCCATAGATTGCTCTGAAGTCTTTAACATTTGCCCTTGCCTTCAAGGTAAACACTACACTCTATACTTGTGGATGCTTCCATTTCTATATGCGTGTGAACACAATCCTTGATGAAACCTAGCTTCTAGTGGTAATCAAAATCGTTAATCAGCGTTTCATTAGTGGAAACCAAATTATACCCACTTATAATTCATTAAATCACAAGTGGAACAAACTCATGATTTGTTTCAGATTGATATTGCACACGTATATGCATATGCATATTTAAGGTTTCATTTTAGTTTAAGAAGCAATGTTTGTATGTATATGGTAAAACGATATTAAAGGAGACAATGGAGGAACATGAGGCTGTTCTTGGTCAACATCCTATTTTCTCTCTAATTAACTCCTATTGGTTCTTGTTTTGGTAAAGAATAGAGTCAGTCCCTCCTTTTTTACCTTCTTTTTGTTTTTGTTTTTTTTTCTCACATTGTTCAATAATCTTATCACATTACTACGTTCTATGATGGTGTTGATTCACATTTGACATTCCTTTTACAAAATCTAACTTGGCCTTCTCATTATTCATTAATCATTGTTTGTAACTTCAATAAATAACATCTGCAGAAGATTTTGACTTTGCCTTTTCTGCTCTATTCTGTTTCTGTCTGAGTCATTTTTCCCTCTGATTAAGTTTCAGTCTTTGCACTCAAGAATGGCTAAAGAGAACACAGGTCAACATCACCAAACAGAAGCAAGAAGAAAGAAACTAACGTTGGTTCTTGGAGTAAGCGGACTCTGTATTTTGTTTTACGTTTTAGGCGCATGGCAGAACGGCAATGTCCCTGCTTCTTTCTCCAAAATGGGATGTGAGACACAATCAAATCCTTCTTCGTCTACACCTTCCTCATCTTCTGAGTCATTAGATTTCAAAGGCCAGAATCAGGATGAATTCAAAGAATTAAACCAAACCATCAAGTACTTGGAACCATGTGACTTATCCCTCAGTGAATACACACCTTGTGAAGATCGACAAAGAGGAAGAAAATTCGATAGGAACATGATGAAATATAGAGAAAGGCATTGTCCTTCAAAAGATGAGCTTCTCTACTGTTTAATTCCTCCTCCACCAAACTACAAGATTCCATTCAAATGGCCTCAAAGCAGAGACTATGCTTGGTATGGAAACATTCCTCATAAAGAGCTCAGTGTTGAGAAAGCAGTCCAAAACTGGATCCAAGTAGAAGGTGACCGGTTTAGATTCCCTGGTGGTGGCACTATGTTTCCCCGTGGAGCCGATGCTTATATCGATGACATTGCTAGGCTCATTCCTCTTACTAATGGTGGAATCAGAACTGCTATTGACACTGGATGTGGTGTGAGTTTTTCAAACTCATCTCCTTTTGTCTTTGTAACGTTTACATTGGATTCACTGATCTTTTTTTTTGTTATTAGGTTGCGAGTTTTGGTGCTTATCTTCTGAAGAGAGACATTATGGCTGTGTCTTTTGCTCCAAGAGACACTCATGAAGCTCAGGTCCAGTTTGCTTTAGAACGTGGGGTTCCTGCCATAATCGGAATCATGGGATCAAAAAGGCTTCCTTATCCCGCTAGAGCTTTTGATCTTGCTCATTGCTCTCGTTGTTTGATCCCTTGGTTTAAAAATGGTAATGGAACTAAGTTCTTATTCTCTTCAGAGATGAGGAAGAACATTAACACAAAACTTGTTTACAGATGGTTTATACCTGATGGAGGTTGACCGAGTTCTAAGACCGGGCGGTTACTGGATCCTCTCCGGCCCTCCGATAAACTGGAAACAGTACTGGAGAGGTTGGGAAAGAACAGAGGAGGACTTAAAGAAAGAACAAGATTCAATAGAAGATGTAGCAAAGAGTCTTTGCTGGAAGAAAGTGACTGAAAAAGGTGACTTATCCATTTGGCAAAAGCCTATCAATCACATTGAGTGCAAGAAGCTCAAACAAAACAACAAATCACCTCCGTTATGCAGCTCGGACAACGCAGATTCCGCTTGGTAATTCCCATCTCGTATCTACATCTTACCTGTGTAAGAATCAAACATTGAACTCTCTCTCTCTCTCTTAGGTACAAAGACTTGGAACCTTGCGTAACACCGTTACCAAATACAAACAATCCAGAGGAATCTGCAGGCGGTGCGCTCGAGGATTGGCCAGACCGAGCATTCGCGGTACCTCCTAGGATCCTCAGAGGAACCATACAAGACATCAACACTGAGAAGTTTAGAGAAGACAACGAGGTTTGGAAAGAGAGGATAGCTCATTACAAGAAGATAGTCCCAGAGCTTTCACGTGGAAGATTCAGAAACATAATGGACATGAACGCTTACCTTGGTGGATTCGCTGCATCAATGCTTAAATACCCGTCTTGGGTCATGAATGTTGTTCCCGTTGATACAGAGAAACAGACGTTAGGCGTGATCTACGAGCGTGGATTGATTGGAACGTATCAAGATTGGTGTGAAGGATTCTCTACTTATCCAAGAACTTATGATATGATTCACGCAGGAGGATTGTTCAGTTTATACGAAAACAAGTAAGAATTATTATTTTTTTGAGACAAGTAAGAATTATTTCTAGGTTCTTTATTTTATATTGGTGATTTACAAATTTTATGGTTGATTGTTTTGTGTTGTTAGGTGTGATCTGACGCTGATATTGTTGGAGATGGATAGAATATTAAGACCAGAAGGAACGGTTGTATTAAGAGATAATGTGGAGATGTTAACGAAAGTAGAGAAGATAGCAAAGGGAATGAAGTGGAACACTCAGATTGTGGATCATGAGAAAGGTCCATACAATCCTGAGAAGATTCTTGTTGCTGTTAAAACTTATTGGACTGGTCAACCCTCTAACAACAACAACAACTAGTGTTCCAACTCTCTTGGTTCCAATCTTCTTTTGTGTGTGTTGTGTTATTTTTATTTTTTAATTGACGAAAATTCTGTTTTGTATTTCTTCTCTAAAATCATGTTTAATGATTCTATTAGGTTTACTAGGGATTTTGCCCGGGCTTAAGTTTACACACATATCATTGTATTCAATAATATATACATTTCACATATATTACATTTATGCTATAAAGTATTAATAGTAAATTGAATTAAATATGAGTAAATTAACTCACAAGTTATTTTTTTAATATCTAAAATATGTATGGGATGATGAACAAATGTAAACTCAATTAAGAATTCGTTAAGTCTTAGCTACTATCCAAAATATTTTTTTTTATTTTACATATTTAAGTTATTGTGGCAATATATTACTAATCTCTGACTAATTTATATTTTCTTATTTTAAATCACTAAACTTGTAATTTAGTTCAAATTACAATATTAGAATATTTCTGGTTTTTAAAAGCTATCTGAATTGATGACATGTCTTCAGAACTTCTGTCTGATATAGAACAATCTTACAAAAGTTAACATTAACATCTGTTTAATACTAAATTTAAAGTGTTTATTAGAGACCCGCACATCTGTGTGGGTACATTTTTCATTTTATAAATGCATAACTAAACATTTTAGATATATAATTTACATTTTAGTGTTATACATTGTATGACCTAATTAATAAATAATGAATTGTTGTAGGGCTTTTTGCAAATTTGACTCAAAACTCTAAGTCAAACACAAAACTAACCTCTTCTTTTGACTCATCTTGTTTTTGTCCTATTCACCCCACATCTTCATTTTATTTACGAAAATGCCATTTATATGTTTTTTGAATTTTTTTTCGAAAATGGCATTTTTACTCTCTCAACCTCATCATCTTCAAGTATTTACAACAT